CCCCAAAACTCAGTAGCAAAGCCAGACCTAAAAGAGGTACAGCCACTTATCATGGGCACTATCTGTTCTGGTGTTTCCCTACAAGAATATTAGTATCTGATCACCGGTGCACTCCAGAAGCACCACAATGTGTCACATACCCCATCTGGCCCTGAGGCTGTAGATGAGAGGTTGAGACCATTGGTGCATCCCTACTCTAGTCACAGTTTGGCCCTGGAGGAAGTTCAGGATGGAAAGGGCTGGGCTTTGGCCACCAAATGGGGCAGGGTGAGGACTGTGGAATGATGCTGCTGTATATTTTACTTTATTGAGCTCTGTACTGGGGCCTAATGACTCAGGGACAGAGGAGGTTAAGTGATGTCCACCTCTGTTCTGAGAGCCCTCTGAACAGAACAGGAACCCAGGGGCACTTGAGGGATTGGTGAGCAGAGATGGGTTGTCTGGCCAGTAGGGGATACTGCCTGGACTGGGCCAAGCAGACCAACTCCTCCTAGAGGGCTCTGAGGCTGGGGAAGTAATGACTCCAGTCCTATAGTCCATTTCTGAGGGACAAAAATTCAGATGTTTCACCTCTCGACCCTCTGGAGAGGCCTAGGCCAAAGGTACCTGAGAACGGGATGGTAACACAGGAGGTGGGAAGCATTCATACTCTGGGTCGCTGAGTCCCACCAATTCATTGAAGTTCCAGGGCCTCAGCTTTTCCATGTTATACGTGTAGACTCAGACCCTGACCTGGTTTCATACTGCCCCTCATCCCCCTTTCAACCCTTCTGTCCAAGGTGGTAGCAGAGAGGATCAAACCTGACCCCCTGTGGGTCTACAGAGCGCTAGGGGCAGAGCTCCAGCAGAGGGCCAGGGCAGGTTTCAGATTGTGTCGGTACTCCCATACTCCCATTTTATAATCCAACCAATCCCCTGGCTTGTGTTTTGTACCTTGCCCAGGTGCCATGTGTGCTTCCAGGGTAGGGCTGCCCAGCACTCAGCAGACTGCAGGAGGCAAGCTGGGTACTGGGCTTCTTTTCAATAGCCAGTACCAGTAGCAGGGCACCCAGTCCAAGCTCTCTCGTGTCCATCATGATTAGGTGAAGACAGGATATCTATATATGCCCTGAATTCAATGGGATGAGGCAGAGCATGCAAGAGTGCATGAAGCTGCCAGGCACAACCCTGCCGGCAGGTTTTGTAGAAAGGCCACAACGATGGAAGGTCTGAAGCCCAGGATGCACAGGGGTCCCAGTCACAGTTGAGGGAGTGCAGTCAGGGCCTGGGATGGATGACAGGCGAAAAGAGGGGATACTGGGGAGTAGGGCAATGGGAACAGCCGTGTTGATCCTCTCGCAGCCCAGAGAGCAAGAGGCCAGGAAGTCGCCCCCAGGCGCCCGCTTGGGGGACCACGAGGGGACGTCTCAGTCCCCACCCCCACCGGCCGCGCCGGGTCGCGCGTGGGCGCGGCGGGCTCGGATTGGCTGGCGGACGCGCGGGCGGGGCGGGCGGTGGCGGCGCAGAGGGGCGGGTCACCCCGCAGACCGGCCTCGGCCTCCACCGCTCGTCGCCGCGCCCCGCCCGCGCGCCCGCCGCCACACGTCCCCCTCCGGCGGCCACCATGAGCACAGGACTGCGGTACAAGAGCAAGCTGGCAACCCCAGGTGAGCCCGACGCCCGCTCGCGTGCCCGCGCGCGCCTTTGTCCCCGCCGCCCGCCCGCCTCTCACGGTCTCTCTCCGTCTCTCCCCCACCCGCTGGCTCGGACCCGCCCGGACCCGACCCGTCCCGGACCGCGATCCCGACCGCGCAGAGGACAAACAGGTACACGCGCTGCGCCGTTCAGCCTGTGCTGAGACCAGACCGGCTGTCACCCATTGTGGCACGGATGCTGGAGGCGCCCAGGCGCGACCCCGCCCCCGCCGGCCGTCATCCAGCCCTTTTGGGGATAATCAATTGTCTGTAGGGGCAGCGCCGCCGAGCCTGGGACTGTGGGGGGACAGGGTGGGCACCAGGTCTGGCCCATTGACCTGCACAGCAGGGGCCTAGGCCCCTCCCTAGGAAGGGAGGTTGGGCAGAGGGCCTCTCTCCACTGGTCCAGGGCGGGCATCTCCTCCCTGACCTGACCTGAAGGCCACGTGCTGGGGGTCCTGGGTGACGCTGTGGTTATGACAGGCCAGGAGCTGGGGGTTGGGACTCTGGGTCCACTAGCCCCCTGAGCAGTGCCATGAGCTTTGGTCACCCCACTTCACACCCTGCACCTTCGTGCCCCTCACAAACAAATCCATGCTTACTAGTCTATAGGAGGACCTCTTCCAAGACCTGGAGCTTTCAAGGCTCCTGATCTGAGTCATCCCAGTGCCCAGCACGGGTCCTTTAGACCATGGATACAGACAGGCTTGTGGCCTTCCAAAGGAGCCAGCCTGGTCCCCACCCTACCAGACTGCAAAGCTGGCCTGGGTACCCTGTGCAAAGCCAAGGGAGCTGGGATTAAACCATGCTGTGAACCAGAGTGGGGTGGCAGTGTGTAACAGGAAGGCTGTGGGCTCCCAGCTTGCCCTGCTGGTCCTCTGTGGCTTGAACTCAACCCTGTTTTGAGAAAAAAAAAGGGGTGGGGGCCAATTCTAGCAGCAGAGGGCCTTGGCAATCCTCATCAGAGATGGGTTTTCACCCCTAGCATGGATGCAGGGTAGACCCCCCCAGAGTATGAACCCAGAGTTCAGCAGGCAGAGCAAAAGCGGCTGACAGATGGGGTGGGCTGGAGAGTCAGTCTCCTGGTGAGAAATTGCCCCGCCCAGATCCGAAGCTCATTGGGAGGGGCTCCCCAGGAGCCTTAGGGAGAACTGCTTCCCCATTCTAATCACTGCAGGTCAGACAAAGCCTGATGGGGACACATGCTGCCTGGCTATTGTGTAAATAGATGGAAAGGGCCAGAGGCTGGGAGGGCAGAGACCTAGGCCTCTGGCTTGCCTCAAATTTGGTCTAAGGGTGCTCCAAGGCACCTGGCTTGGGTACCTGCCACTCAGCAGCATCCAGGTTCTCCTGCCCATTCCTGCCAGGATGGGGACAACCCACCTGCTGAAGTATGAGCCTTTCAGGCCTGCATCTGCCCATCCTGAGGTCAGTTAGGAGCCAGCCTCACACCATCCTCTGCCCCCAGGCCCCAAAGGGAGATAGATTAGATCAAGACAGACTCAGGGAGCCCCAAAAGAGGGCCAGAGTCCAGATGTTTGGGCTGGGACCCTGGGCCTGAAGGAAGTAGTACACAATACTCTCAGTGCCCACGGTGGTTTTACAGAGACTCAACTTTACCAAGCTTCCTTCTTACTGTACACATTTGGGGAAGGAGGGTTGGAGCAGTAGTCTGTGTGGGAGGGGGTTGTCTGTCTGCCCTTGGTGCCCCACACCTCTTCTCAAGCAGTGAGGAGTCTCTGTTGGCTGTGCCTGGTGCTTCAGAGCTGATTCAAGGGATTCTAAGGATGGAAAGCCTCGAGAGTCTTATGTACGCAAAGAAGTGGGCACAGCTGTGTCATTCGTCTCCAGATCCCTGAGGAATATTTGTTGTGCCTCGAGCCAGAAGAAGGGGATGGTAGGGCCCCTCCCCTAGGGCTCCCCCAGGGAATGCACAGACTATGATGGCCCATTTGGATAATGAGCAGACAGATTATGAATAGGGAGTAAGACCCTGGCTGTCCTCACCTGAACCTCCCCAGAAGGGGAAACCTTCCCAACGGGGAAATTGAGGCACTTTGAGACCAACAAGCTCTGTTCAACAACATGGCCCTGGCCAAGGCTGTCTGTGTGGTCATGCTTGGTGGGTAGTGGGCTGAGGCTGCCTCTGCAGTGGCTGGAGGGTGGGAGGTGGATTGGACTCCATCAAGAGGCTTTCTGCCGGTCAAGCTGGAGCCAGTAGCTGCTTTCTGGGAGCTAGAACTAGGTGGCTGCCCCTCTGCCCCTCCCACCCGTGGGCCCACCCTCCTCCCCAGGTGCCAACCATTCTGGGCACCACAGTCAGACCCTGGGTGGAAGCCCCTCCAAGGAGCTGAGTAGGGAGGAGCTGCCTAGAAGAGGGGTAGTACCTGCATGGGACAGGGGTCTCCTGGTCCTCCTGGCACAGTGGATAGGGGCTTGACAGGGGCTTGTTAGTTTCTTATCCCTTGGCATGCGTCTGTTCAGATTGTGGTGGGGTTGGAGGTGAAGAGTAAGAGATTTGATGGCTGACAGAAGATGGCTTCCAGGTTCCTCAGGTCCCTATGGTTCCTGGGACATCTGGGAACTTAGGTGGTGCGGCGTTGTAGGCAGAGACTACTTAGCAGCGAGCCAGCCAGGGCTTCCAAGTTCGGAGGGAAGGGGGCCATCAGAACTCTGGCCATTGCGTCCCCTCGGGCTCTTGACCCACCCCAAGCTCTGCAAAAGGGGCGTGTGTGGGGGCAGGTCCTGGATGGACTTCGTGAAAGAAATGAACTCGGCCATCAGCTCGTCTGAAGATGCCACGCAAGGAAAGAATCCCCTAATCGCCATACATGCGGGGAGGGGGAGTGAGCCCATGGAAGCAGGCAGGGGCGTGTCCATGGGTAGTTTGGGCGCCGTGATACGATGTGGGAGGAGAGAGTGGGAACCGAGTCTGCGAGGACAACTCGGGTGTTGACTGCGGCCGGTTCCCGCGCGGTTTCGCGTGGGTCCCGAGAGTCCCCTCGCGCCCTCTGGTGGGCGGAAGCAGCTCCGCGTCTCGGGGGCCGATCGCGTCCCGGCCCCAGACACCCGGCTGCCCGAGTGCAGACTTCCCACCACCGCATACCGCCGTCCCGACTCCAGGGCGGAGGCCGCGATGCCACGGCGGGGCTGCGAGTCCACGCGGCGCCTCCCGCCCCCGCCTCCGCTGGGCCCTGCCCTCCGCAGCCGTTTTCCGTGGCTCCGCCTGCGGCCCAATTTCCAGGCGACCGTTTCCCGGCGACGTCGGGCGGGGCGGGCTCCACCGCCCCCTGCCGGGAGCCCGCGAAGCCCCGCCTCGAGTTCGAGTGCGGGGAGCTGGGCCGGCAAGACCCAGATGCCGCACAGCTCGCGCGCCCCCGCAGAGGCAGGGGGATGGCTCGCGCCACCTCTGCGGTCAGCGGCCCACCAGGTAGGCGACGTCCTCGCTCCGGGCCTCGGTTCCCGTGTCAGAGCCAGAAGAGGGCTTAGGAACAAATACCCCGCTTGAGAACGCCGGCCCCGGTCGCCTTGACCCGGTGCAGGGCCCCAGCGCGGCGGGCAGGGTCAGGAGGGTCGCCGTGATGGACTCACTGGCAGCACCCCAGGACCGCCTGGTGGAGCAGCTGCTGTCGCCGCGCACCCAGGCCCAGAGGCGGCTCAAGGTGTGTGTGGGGGTGTGGGTGTGTGTGTATAGAGAGGGTGGTATGTGGGTCAATGTATGCATGCTTGCTTGGCCAAGACCCTCCCCGCCTGAGAAAGTGGCAGGGGCAGGCAGGACAGGGGTCCACACAGGATGGGCAAGGCGCTTTCGACCCTGCAGTGGGGGAGGCTCTGTACTGCGGCCTATAAATAGCCCCTGCTGGGACGCTGCTTCTGGAACCACCACCCCCAGGCCTGGATCCGGGCCAGACGAGCTGCCCACCCTGGTTCCTCTGGGACGGGTTCTGGGCTGAGGCCTGGCTGTGAAGGCCTTAAATGTGTCTGAGGGGTCTCAGTACTGGTTCCCCACCCTACCAGGGAGGACACCGCCTGTGAGCCTGACATCCCCATGCCCCACCCCAGTCTTGAGTCCCTGCTGAGGCTAGAACAGGGGGTGCCTTTTCCTGCCACCCCCTCACCCACCTTCCTATTTCCAGCCTTTGTCAGCAAGCTCTCATCCCATTTTTGCCAATGAAATGCCCCACCCTAGGGGCTGTGCCACCTGCCATCTCCTCATCTGAGCCACAGAATGAGGAGGTAGGTCTTTGGGCTTCCAAGGAAGATTCAGGGTATGCCCCTGACCTGCCCCACCCCACCTCTGCCCACAGGATATCGACAAGCAGTATGTTGGCTTTGCCACACTGCCCAACCAGGTGCACCGGAAGTCAGTGAAGAAGGGCTTCGATTTCACACTCATGGTGGCCGGTGAGTGGGCCAGGCTTCTAGAAGGGTGGAGTGGCTGGGGCCACTGGCCAACCCAACTTGACCCCAATCTAATCCAGCCTTTTCACGGTACCTATGGCCAGGTGAGTCGGGCCTGGGGAAGTCCACACTGGTCCATAGCCTCTTCCTGACTGACCTGTACAAGGACCGGAAGCTGCTGAGCGCTGAAGGTTAGTGGCCACCTACACAGTCCTCACCAGTCTACTCACCCCTGACCCAAGGCACCTCAGAGGGCACCCTTCCACTCTGATTGAGGTGTGCATCCCTGTTTGGGGCCCAGGACACACAGTCAGGCTGTGAGACTGAGGCCAAAGCACCAGGATGGGTGAGGACAAGGCTCCTTGCTGCCCAGTGTAAGAGCTGGAGGTGCCCCCGCACACACTGCCTCCCGTTCCTCTGCAGAACGCATCAACCAGACAGTAGAGATCCTGAAGCACACTGTCGACATCGAGGAGAAAGGGGTCAAATTGAAGCTTACCATTGTGGACACTCCAGGCTTTGGAGATGCTGTGAACAACTCTGAGTGGTGAGGAATAGGTTCCCTATCCCAGACTCCCCTTCCCCACTCCCCCACCTAGCTGGAGCTCTTGAAGCTGGCTTTGTGCTCCCTCTGCTTCCAGTTGGAAGCCCATCACTGACTATGTGGACCAGCAGTTTGAACAATATTTCCGGGATGAGAGTGGCCTCAACCGTAAGAACATCCAGGACAACCGGGTGCACTGCTGTCTGTACTTCATCTCCCCCTTTGGACATGGGTATATGACTATCCTGGGCCCAGGCTGAGGGTGGCTGTTCCTGCCATTTTATCCCTGCCCCCCTGACAATACTCATCCCCATCCGGGGCTGTTCTCTGCAGGTTGAGGCCAGTGGATGTAGGTTTCATGAAGGCTCTGCACGAGAAGGTGAACATTGTTCCACTCATTGCAAAAGCTGACTGCCTGGTCCCCAGTGAGATCCGAAAGCTGAAAGAAAGGGTGAGTCTCCTGGGGCAGAGAAGGCCTGGCCAAAAGTGCTGGGGTTAAAAATTCCAGGGGGAGCTGGCCAGTGCCAGGTCAAACAGCTCTTACCCTACTGTTGCAGATTCGGGAGGAAATTGACAAGTTTGGGATCCACGTTTACCAGTTTCCAGAATGTGACTCAGACGAAGATGAGGACTTCAAGCAACAGGACCGGGAACTGAAGGTAAGCATGTAGCCAAGTAGGATGAGAGCATGGAGGTGGCCATGAGCACCCAGGTCCAACCTGATGATCGCAGAACTCATTTATTCAAAGAATAGAAAACCTGTGCCCCCTCTCACTGCAGGATAATGGTCACTTGTATCCCAGTGTAGCCTATGGTGGATCATTTCTGAAACACCATCCTGACCTGCTTTCCAAGAATCAGCCCAGTGGAACAGAGTTGTGGCTTGCCCTATCTCCCAAGATTCTGAGCTGCAGAGGGAGGTAGCTTCGCATACCCCAGAGCTTAGAGTGGTGATGACAGAGACCTAAGCCAGGAACAAGAGGCCACTTGGTCAGGAACAGCTAGGCAGGGCCATCCACAAGTGGGTATGGCCTCAGCTCTGGCTTGAAAAATGGAGAAAGCTAGGCAGATGGTTCTTCATGGGCCAGAGGAGTACACGGCCTGCCAGAAAAGCCTTTGAGTGTGGGCAGCAGAGAAACTAGAAGAAGGGTCATATCTGGTGGGAGGTGGATGTTGGCAATGCTGGAAGGGTGGCCATGCCCACTCAGCCACTGAGTCTGCTCTCTTACAGACTGGGCTGGGCCCTTGTTCTCTTCCCCCAGGAAAGCGCACCCTTCGCTGTCATCGGCAGCAACACTGTGGTGGAAGCAAAGGGACAGCGGGTCCGCGGGCGACTGTATCCCTGGGGAATCGTGGAGGGTGAGTTGAGGCATGGGGGCACTGAGTATCTGGTGAGAGACTTCCCCGTGGCTGGACACACACCCACTGCCCACTCCTGCCCCACAGTGGAGAATCAGGCGCACTGCGACTTTGTGAAGCTTCGGAACATGCTCATCCGCACTCACATGCACGACCTCAAAGATGTGACATGCGATGTACACTACGAGAACTACCGGGCACACTGCATTCAGCAGATGACCAGGTGGGTCACCCCTCCCCCTACCGGAACTGTCCCTCCCTGCCCTGGCCACCCAGCCACACGGAAGGCAGCTACCACACACACTAGGTATTTCCCAGTCCCCTACCTTGAACCACTCAACAGCACAGTCTCTCACTCTGCAGCAAGCTCACACAGGACAGCCGCATGGAGAGTCCCATCCCTATCCTCCCACTACCCACTCCAGACGCGGAGACAGAGAAGCTCATCAGGATGAAGGATGAGGAGGTGGGTGGGTGTCGGGGTGGGGCCTGGACTGTTCGTGAAGGTGGAAGAGGGGAGGCATAGGTGAAGGTGGGCCAGGTCTCGGGTCTTTTCTTACACTGCCTTCGTTGTTCCCACCCACCAGCTTAGGCGCATGCAGGAAATGTTGCAGAAGATGAAGCAACAAATGCAAGACCAGTGACACCCCACCCCAGCCCCACATCGCCACGGATAGACCACCCGTTTCCGGACTGGCTGTTCCTACCCTGGAACCCCAGACTGGCCTGGATTCTACCCTGGATTCATCTGGATCTCACATGGGCCTGGACCCAACCCAAAACCCAAAGTGGCTCTGAGCAGACTTTCTGACCCAGAGCACCGAGCCACATCCCCCAGATGACCCTAATTTATTCTTAGTATTCACCCTTCTAGGTCATTTGTATCTGCTTCGGAGGGGTCTGAACCACAGCCCCTCCCCAACCCTCCCACCCCCGCCAAGAGGGTGCAAGAGCTAAGTTGGGCACAACTTTCAAGATCTCCCTCCCTAGAAGGTCACTACCCCAGAGGGCCAATAAACCAAGGCAGAAGGAGGGGCGCAGATTGCAGGATCGGGGCCTAATTCCCCAACCCAGTGCTGCAGAGCGGACTTGGGGGCCCTCCGCTGCTGCGGATTCCAGTGGCCTATTCAGCCGATGCTGACACCCTACTCTGTGCGGAAGTGGGCCGGATCCTCCCTTATCTCCTCATTCCCGCTCGCTTTGGACGAGAGCCGGCAGAGTTGCGAGGTCTTTGGGAAGACCGGAGACCTAGAGACTGATGTGATGAGGGCGGGGCCGCGAGGCTGTGACAGCACATGCCCTTTCCCCACAGCCTGGGTCAACCCGAAGGGCTGCAAGGGAGGTGGGAACGGGGCATTCTCCATGCCTAGACAACCTTCATCTGCCCATAGGCCGAGGTCTCCTTTCCCCAGCAGTACTATGGCGCTGGGATCCCTGCCCACCTCCATCTCGCCACCCGCATGACACCCCCTCCCCCCACGCGCACACACACACCCATGCTCTGTTTTGTTCAGTTGTGAATGCCACGTCCTGTCCTGGTGACAGGAGAACAATGTTGGTGAACGTTGCGGCGAGTGTCCGAGTGTTCCGTGGGTCCCTGGGAGCGGGCGGGGGCGGAAGCCCAGGCGGCGTGCGGGTCGTGGCGATAGCGCCCTATCTTCCGCTACACAGCGCCGTGGCGCGCCGGCTCGGGGTTATTTCTGGCCAGGAGGCAGAACTGTGGTCTGTGCGGCAGGCGCGCGGGGCCTGGCAGGCGCGGGCAGGCTCTTGGGCCAACGCCACCCACTCCAGAACGAACTGAGCCACCGTCCTCTCGCCATGGGCTCCCGTGAGTTCTGGGGTCTGGTCTGCCACTTCCTAGACAGCCGCGTTGGGAGGTGTTGTGGTTTGGGCAGCAGTAGGAAAAGGCTTGGATCAGACTTGGAGGGAAGGAAATTCCAGTCTCGCAGGGAGGTCGGGGTGGAGGGGTCTGCGGACCACGGGTCACGAGCCTCTGAAGAAGGAGGAAGAGGGACCCAGAGCTCCTGATGATGCTTGGGGATGCGGCCCCCGCATCCCGCCCGCTGCACGACTCAACCCAGAGCTTCTCTTCCAGGGCCGCGCGGGGCGCTGAGCCTACTGCTCCTGCTGCTAGCGCCGCCCAGCCGCCCAGCCGAGGGCTGCCCGGCGCCGTGTAGCTGCGCAGGGACACTAGTGGACTGCGGGCGCCGCGGGCTGACTCGGGCCTCGCTGCCAGCCGCCTTTCCTCTCGACACCACCGAACTGGTGCTGACTGGCAACAACCTGACAGCGCTGCCGCCGGGGCTTCTCGATGCGCTGCCTGCGCTGCGCGCCGTGCACCTGGGCGCCAACCCCTGGCGCTGCGACTGTGCCCTGCTGCCGCTGAGAGCCTGGCTGGCCGGCCGCCCCGAGCGCGCACCGTACCGCGACCTGCGCTGCGTCGCGCCCCCAGCGCTGCGCGGCCGCCTGCTGCCCTACTTGGCCGAGGACGAGCTGCGCGCTACGTGCCCGGGGGGCAGCCTCTGCCGGGGGGCGCTGGCGGCTCAGCTTGCGCTGCTGGTCCTCGGGCTCCTACACGCGCTGCTGCTGGCGCTGCTGCTGTGTCGCCTGCGGAGGTTACGCGCCCGCGCGCGCGCCCGCGAAATGCATGCGTTATCGCTGACAGCCCAGCTGTTGGCTGAACCCACCGCCGGAGCTAGCGCGTCCTAAGAAAGGATTGGCTCTGAGCAATGACGACCTGCAAATTCTACAGGCCTCTGCTGGAGGAGCCCTCGCCTTAACCCGGACCCGCCTCAGCCTCTACCCCTGCCCAATCTCCCAAACCCACCAGGCTCGGCAGGCCTGAAACCACGTCGAACCGAACTGCTGAAAGCACTACCAGAGTGAGAAGACCCCGTGTCTTCCTCCGTGCCTAGGGAGGTGGAGGGGCCCATCTCGACCCTGAGACGTTTCCGACTCCCAACTCAGTGCGAATAAACCTTTCTCCTCCTCTTCTGGCGGTTTCTCTACCCACGCTCCCCCCCACCCCGACCTGGAATTCCTCTCACCAAATCCCAGAAAAAAACCCAGGGGAGGTTGTTCAAGGGGACACAATTGCATCTTTACATGCTGCCAAACTGGCCTAGGGCAAGCAGGAGTCAGTGGGTAAACTCTTCCCTGCACAGAGCTGTCTGCAGGTCACTGTGAGTAATAAAAATGCTGTGAGCAGTGAGGTCCCTCCAAGGACAGCTCAGGGATAGGAGTGTCCCCTGTCAGTGACCCTTCTGTGTGGACAGCTTTAGAGCAGCCAGGGATGGACTGAGGTTGGAGTAACTGTGGTGAGAACAGGTGGATGTGGTCTGTGATCCACCTGGGACTCCCTGGGCCATTCAAGTAAGGAATTGGCCTCTGGAGGATAGGCTGGGCCAGATAACAGGGACATGAGGTGTGAGGGCCTGCAGATGTGAGTTTAACTGGAGTCTCTGAAATCATGGCCTAGAGAGAACCAGGCCTCCTCTCACACCTCTGGACCCTTCAAGTGGCCCCATATCTTCCCATCCCATCTCCCTAACCCCCGGCAGCAGCCCCAGCCCGGCTCCTGACAGAACTCAAAGCTGTTCTCTGATGCGCTGTTCCTACCCATTACCCTACAGCCTCTACTTCCTCAGCTCCCCAGTTGCACATACCAGCCCTACCTCCAGGCTAGGCAGATATACATGCTCTTCCTTGTCATATGGTGCCCTTCACACCCCTGTTCCTTGCTCACTTTGCTTTTCCAGTGCTCTGGGTGATCAAATGAGACTGGAATGGCACCTTCCTTGCTGTTGGAGCCAGCCCATCAGGCTCAGGGTCCCCCTCTTGCCCTTTGTGTGGCTTCCACCTGGTTGCTCCTGTGAACAATGGAAGCTGTTGTTCCCAAAGACCCCAAACAGGACCCAGATGAAGAGCCTCAGGTCTGGGCACAGGAAAGCATTGGTCCTCCTCTGACGGCCACTGACCAGGTCGAGGGGACTGCAGCTGACATGGCCTTTGTCCTGGCCTTTGTGGAACAAGACAGATGACCCTCAAGTAGGCTGATGGCTATCTCCAGGCTGCCGGTCAGACTCGAGGCAGAAGCCATCTCCTCCTTTGTGGGCAGGTGTGGGGCATCCGGCCCATTGTGGGCTGCAGCCAACTGTGTGCCTGTCCATCCGGCATTATCGCTGCATCAGGGCCAGTGGTCCTCTTTGTTCACCCTCCCCATGGGTGGCCTGTCACCCCCAGAACCCCTGGTAAGGCACACAGTAACACACTAAAATCAGTCAAACACAGTACAGGAAGGGGGCATCCTTCTCCTTTCCAGAGGAGCAAACTAGACCCTCAAGTGGTACACTTTGCCTGGCCCCAGTCCCTTCTCTGTGGTTGTAATAGGAACAGAGCTGAGACAGATTTCTAGGGTCCCTACTCTCTTCATCCCTGAGAATCTTTAGGGACCGCTCCAAGGCCTAGGAGAAAGGGACCAGGGGCCCCAAAGTGGTCCCAAGCTAAGAGAAAGAGGTCTCCCACACTATGGGATGAAGCCTCAGCAGGAGCTGTAAGAAAGATCCCAGGCCCAGTGCCCACAGTTCACAGGATCAGGGTCTTACTGAAGGGTTAGGTCTGGGGACTCGGAAAGACAGGAGTCACAGGGGCAAGGGCTCCTCTGATGAGGGAACAAGGCTGATAACCACAGTGTAGTCAGACAAAAGAAAGAACTTCTTGCTTTCTGGTTAAAGGGGCAGCTAGACCCCATGGTGAGCTTAACTGGCTGGTACCAAGGCATCAGCCTGGCCTCATTGATTAACCTTCCTCGTGGTCTGGGAGCCTCCAATTCTAACTGCTGACCCCAAACTGACCCTCCACGTGCTAAATCTGGGGCCTCAGCATCTAACAAGTATGGGGAAGTGGATGGTCCCAGCTCAGTGCCCCTGAATGCACACTCCTTCTCCTCCTCCTTCTTCCCCCTCTTCCCAGTCTCTAGCATTGTCCTCCACTTCAGAGACAACACACCTGCCCTGGAGTCTCCTCCCCAGTCACTAACTGGTCCCCTCTGTGGTCTAAGACTCCTAAGTCACAGAGTTCCTCTCAAAGGAACACAGTACACACATACTCAGGCTCAGTCTGGCTGATTCTAGGCCCTTTTCTCTAAAGCCCTAAATGTCAGAGGTTGTCTACACCACAATGTCCACCCATCCCCTGGGCTCCCAAGATTTCATCTTTAGAGCGAGGTCCAGCCATGTGCCTTATCTGTCCTATCAGCCAGACCTGTCACACCTTTGCTCATCACAGTTCCTTTGCTGGATTTGCCTTGTCTCCTGTGACCTTTGTCCTTATCCAAGGCTCCAGTCAAGCTGAGAGATTTTCAGCCTCATCTAGATTAGCACAGGGCACAGAAGTTCCTTTAGAGGCCAAGCCACATGTGGGGCCTGTGTGCTACCAACCAGTCAGCCAGCCAGTGACTGACCAAGAAGTTGCATTGATGGAGTCCCAGTAAAGCCACCAGCCCACGGATAACCAGAGCAGTGACCTCCGGTGGAAAGCCTCTATCTCATCATCGTAAAATTGCTGGGGCTGTGACCCTTTATTCTGTCTGTTGGTGAAGTCCTGTCTTCCCGCATGCGCTGTGACCCCAGACTGGCGCCAGAGGGCGCTAGCGGTTTGCAAATGACAGCACAGGGTGCAGCGAGAGCTGTGCAGGCCTTGGCCAGGGCTTAGGAGAGCCATCCACGCAGAAAGCCAAAGAGAGTGGGGACCTAGTCCAATCTGCGGAGGCGGCACCTAGAGGGCTGTCAGGTCAGTCCCTCGGGACATGGAGAGGAGGGCGCTGCACAGCCGCTGACAGACGGAGAGAGAAAGAGTGCGGCCTCCCTTCCCTCCTGTCCCTCCTCTGCTCACTGACAGCCGGTCAACCGCGAAGATAAGGGACCTCTTCCGCCTGGCGGGAAGGACATGGGCCACTCCAGGTGCGCCCCCCCCCGCCCCGCCAATGACTAATCTTTGCTCCGTAAACACTTATTGGGCCCCTGTTGTGTGCATTGCTATGGGGGCGGGGCGGACCACAGCGAGTCTCTTTGGTCCCGGGTGCCCAGCAGCGCAAATATGAAGAAAAAGAGGACCCGGGTTGCACTGGGTTCCTCCGTGAGTTCCCTCCAGCCTTAAGAGGCCTTGGAACTGGGCTGACCTGCCTGAAGCCGCCCCATGGAAGAGGCCCTGGGAAAAGGGGGGGGTGCAACCCAGGCCACGTGGGAGGGGGAGGCCCGCACCCGCTGCCCAGACAGAGCAACAACATTGGGGTGGGTGGCGGGGCCCTGGGGACCCATAGCTCACTGCAGCGTCTGCGCCCACCCCCGGCGTTTCCGATGGAAGACAGGCAACTAGTGATAAATCACTGGCTCCCACTCCCACTCACCCCAGGCCAACCGGTGGGGAAGAGGGGCTGCAGGGGCCGCGTGTCAGAGACAAGGCCTGGAGCAGAGACAGGAGACAGGACCAGAGAACCAGAGACAGGACAGAGGCAGAAGCCATCTGACACCAGCCAGTTCCTTGCTGAGGTGTCTGAGCTCCCCCAGGTGCCCTCTCCACAAAGCCCATCTGGAAACCAGCTGAGAGTCACCCCAACCCTGCTGACCCCATCCGGAGGGGGGAGCCAGGCCTCTGCAGCAGTAACTGCAGCTCCCCAGGGAGGACCATAAATCAGCAGGGGGCACTTGGAGCAGTGCCCCCAGTAGAGTGAGGGTCTTCTGGGGTCACTAATCCTGGTGACTAGGCCTGGCCTTGGCTGTGTCTCTCCCTCCTTAAACAGCTCTTGTGGGACCTCCCAGCCCCCATCTCTCTTCCTGGCTAGTACGGTCTGGCCTGGACCCCTTCATACCCAAGCCTGTCTACAGTGGCTTGTGCATGCTCACTGCTCTCTTTTCTCAAAGATAGGAGTGATATGTCCTTAGGAGAACTCCTGGGGGCTGACCTGTTCCTGGTCCCACAGAAAGTATGGGGTCCTTCCCAATGAAAAGTGTTCAGGGGTCCACTCTGCCCAAGGAAATGCCACCCATACCTCCTGCCACCCTATCTTTCTGTCCCCTCCTCCACCCAGAGTGCTGAGGGCTGGCTGGGCAAAGAGTGCTGAGAGATGAGCCAAGTAGGGCCCTCAGGTGTGAACCACCCTCCCCCAACACACTCAAGGCAGGTGTGAAGTCAGTACTGATGGGAGAGACTGGCAAGTGCCCAGGCCAGGCCCCAAGACCAGCAGAGCATGTTTCACAGCCCCACTGCCCAGACCCCCAACCCCAGCAAAGCTCCCTTTAGGACCCACAAGGTGGAGTCAAGGCCACTTGTGCACTAAAAAGTACAGATTTCTCCTGTAGCTTGTCTCAAGAATGGGCAGGGGTTGGGGGACCGTCAAGGAGATTCCTCCTTTGGAAAGACCTTAGAAGCTCTGCGATTGTGTGTCTGAGAGAATTGAGCATCTGTGACAGGCCTGGACCTGGGCTCATGGATGGTACCCTTGACCCTCAAAGCAAACCCTTAAGTCAGGCATTAGCGATATCTCAGGAAAAGGACAGCGAGGGCAGAAGTTGGGAGTAGTAGGGGCTAGGAGCTCTTTAGGCCTCAAACCCAGTGGAGTGCCCTCCTCCCCCCAGTGCAGCTCCTCTTCCCACTGGGATTGCTCTTACTGAAATATTCTTGGGAGGCTTTCCTGGTCCATATATGGCAGGGGAAGGGTACAAGGGCAATTGGAGCCAACCTGTTCTGTCTCCTCTCAGGGTGAGGCTCTGTCTTCATCTGGGTCATACAGGACCCTAGGGCCAACCCCACAAGGTCACTGCTCCCTGGTGGGTAAAGGGGCATTCAGAAGGGCTAGAAAAGGACCTTACCAGCTTGGCACAATGCCTCCCCCACCCCCAGATGTATGAGTACCAACCCCTGGGAAATGACTCTCCAAATCAGCCTGGGTTGTGTGAGTAGACCCACACAGCCTTGGAAGGAAAG